TGTGCACTCTCTCCCTCCCTCTGACAAATAAATAAAATCTTTTAAAAAAATAAAGAACTTACGCTTAGAAACCTAAGAATAGAACATTTCTAGTTAAATGATAGAGGCAAGATAGCTCCAGGATCTCTCTACAGAACATGCCTATAGCCTATGCTTCCAACCAGGACCATTGACCAGAGCATGTCACTATCTCCTGGGTGACAAATACAGTTTAGTCACAAAGTGGAAACCAAATGTGATTGTAAACATCATTATTCTACCCTCTTTAAATATCCTTTTCTGAAAGGAACTTAATTTTATGTAATATATTTTTGTTGTACAATGAAAGAGGATACTACAGACTTTTTTATGGGTTCCAATATGTTTCACAAAACTGTATATTTGCCAGAGTAATTATTGTTATTATGTTATTTTTGGCAATTATGACAAGAGACTGTAAAACAATTTTTAGTAAATTGTTAGTAAGCAATTAGTAAATAATTGTTAGTAAACAATTTTTAGCAAATTACAGCAAAACATTGTTTAATGGCCCTCATCTAAGTACAGTTAAGCAGTCTTCCTGTTCATTTTAGGAGCTAAAGGACTTCATTGCCATTTTAGCATTGAATGGTGGTCATTCATAGCAACCAAGCTATCTTGGTTTCTATGTTTTGAAAACACACATAGGTCTCTAATTATGTCACAGTTGATTCCTGTCCAGAAAGCTATCTGTTATGTCTACCTCTTTATATATGTGTCTTGTTATTTTGACTATCAGAAACGAATTCTTTCATGACAGAAGGCAGCATCAGCCACAGCCTATCCTGAAGACAGCTACTGTCAAGAGGAAGAGGAGTACAAAGAAAAGGATACTGTAGAGGCTTTGAGAAGCAACCTGATTTGCAATATGTGCTTTTTATGGGTTGAACTGTGTGTTCCCCAAATTCATATATTGAAGTCCTAACCCCCGGTACCTCAGAATGTGACCTCACTTGGAAATAGAATCTTTACAGAGCTAATCAAATTAATATGATGTCATTAGTGTGGGCCCCGATCCAGTATGACTGGTGTCCTTATAAAAGAAGAAATTTGGGACAGAGACAGACACACATAGAAGGAAGATGATGTGAAGACACAGGGAGAAGACAGCCATTTACAAGCTAAGAGAGAGGCCTAGAACAGATTCTCCCTCACAACACCTTGATTTGGGACTTTTAGTTTCCAGATCTGTGAGACAATAAATTTCTGTTGTATAAGCCACCCAGTGTGTGGTACTTTGTTCCAGCACACCTAGCAAACTAATACGGTGCCCAAAAGAACAAAAGCCACTGCAGGAGGTTTCCAGCCAAATACCATTATGGGAGTGTAGTTCAGCACATTTTGTTTTCCTGTGGTCACTTGAGGAAAAAAAAAAAAACAAAACACAGAGAAGCTGCTGGAAAGATTTCTCTGTAATTTTTCCCTTTCAGGGTTGGATGAGACTGTGAACTGAATTACTACTTACCCTCATGCAATAGTATGCCCTACAGCTCTTTTCCAATGGCAACTGAGAGGGCCTTTGATATATAGGTCCCAGATGTTTTTCTTATTCTGCCCTCTTCTACTTATCCAATAAATTAATCAGTGAAATTTCAAAGAATTTCTCAACCTGAAGACTCTCAACCCAAAGAAAGGCAGTAAGCTCAAGCAAATTTTGTGAGACCTGACGTGTGTCCCTCAACAAACTTTACCCAGGAATATTTGTTGCCTTAAAGAATAAAGATAGAAGGAAGAAACCTATGTACTGAGGATCTATATTTAGCTTATCTCTCTGCGTGAGGATAGACTTAACTTGTGCTCGGACTGGATAGTTCTATGCTCATCTCCAGGGATGTCTGAAAGTCCGGTACTGACCCTTGGCTGAGAGAAGCATGAAATGTGCTGGTTAATGATTTATAAGATGCTCTTTAAAGCTCAAAATTCCCTTAGAGGCATCCTTTACTGACTTTTCCACATTGGTTAGGGATCTATAGATTGATGGTTTGCCCCCAGTTTCAGAGTTTACATGGTCTGGTTTTAGTTGTGACCAGTGGAGTATTAAAGACCCCTCAGTAAACTTGTATCTTGGGTTCCTTGAAACCAAGGCAACCTTGAACATATTCTAGTGGTCCATAATCTGAGTGTACAGCACATCCTCTGCAACTGAAAAAGGACTCTTAGAGGGATGCCTGAACAGATCAAACCCTTCCATGATGGACTATACTTTTCTTCTGCTACTGTACTTACCTTGATTAAAGCCTTATGTGTGAAATGCTGTAAGTCCTTTCAATTTTTTGACCCTGTGTGATTGTTATACCCACAAACCCTAGGTTCAAGGCTGAGACCTTGAGCCCTTCCTAAAATTCACCTTAAAAGGTAAAGCAAGCACTAGTTCTGGAGACCATAAATTGAAAAGAAAATGGGAAAGCAGTAAGGACCCTAATCTTTGTTGGGGTTTAAGGCAGACTCAAGCTCTGGATAAGAGGCCATAAGGATGTGTGTGGGATGCTGGATCTTAGTTCTAAGTGTAAATAGAGGGAAACTGGGGAGTAGCATGGCATAGAATAGATACTCCTGGGCCATCAGATCCCAGGTTCCCTACCTCTATCAAGAGTATAACTCTGTTTGGAGGGTGGGGGTAATTGAGACTGCAGGTGAAATTAAAATGGGTTTTGCCAGTTATTTCTGCTGGTTCACATGACTTCTATTCTTCTAGAGACTCTCTCTAGGGCCAAAAGCATTACAGAATATAAGAGAATAAAAGCTACGACATAATGAAAATTGGATAATTAAATCAAGGTCATCTGCCAAAGGCACACATTCGAAATAACTATTAAATCCACTGCTTTCCATAAACTATTTGTTCTGAGTGTTGTATTAAATTAGTCAAAGACAGTTTTATATTCTGGGCACTATAGAGTCTCTAAATGGGATATCTCTTATAAAGCATATGGGAATAAAAGAGGTATGAAGTACAAGAGATCAGCAGAAACATTTACACACAGAAAATGCCTTGTAACCTTAATCAGGATAAAGAAAGGAAAGAGCACTATGAGAATGTCTAACATTAGAGAAATGGTTTAATAAATTATAGCACATCAAAATGATGGAATATTATGCAGGCATTAAAATGATAATTAAAATTATGTAGAAATGTTTGTTTGATATAATGTTAATGTAAAACCAGAAGAATACAAAATGGCATATAAAAGTATGAGAGCATATAATTACATATGCAAGTTGAAGGAAGTATATTAAAACATTGAATTATCATAATTTAGAGTGGGTTGTTTGTTTTTAATTAAAGTATACTGTGTTATATAGACTTTGTATGGGTATGTACATATATGTATATCTTCTATATGTGTATATTTATGTATAAACATAAGACATTTAGTGGTGGGCACATTGGTAGGGATTTTTTTTTTTTTTTGAGATGCTTCCTTATCATTTAGAGCAGCACTTTCCAATAGAACTTGCTGCAATAATGAAAATGTTCTATAAATCTGTGCTGCCCAGTATGGTAGACACTAGCCATGTGTGTCCTTCAGGCACTTGAAATGTGGCTAGTGTGGCTGACCAATGAAAAAATTTTTTTCAACTTTAGTTAAAATTTAAATTCAAGTTATATTCACTAACTAACTAAAATTTAAATTAAAAAAATGTTAATTCAAGTAGCCACACATGCCTTGTGGTTACCATATTGTCCTCTAAAAAATACCAATTTATAGCTAGAAGGTAGATAAAATTTAGTAGTGGGCTCATTAGTCTGGATTTTTGTCCACTGTCATTCATATTTTTTCTGTAGTCAGTTGGAACCTCTAAAAGTACTCTGTCATTCACTTCTCCCTTAGGAGCAAGAGATCATGCAAAAGGTGCACTTTGCTGAATTGTAAAGGATAAAAGAGCTCCACTTACTCTCCACTTCAGTGGAGTTTTAGTACATCAGTCTTTTTTTTTTTAGATTTTTTTTTATTTATCTATTTGACAGAGAGAGAGGTAATGAGAGCAGGAACACAAGCAGGGGGAGTGGGAGAGGGAGAAGCAGGCTTCCCACTGAGCAGGAAGCCCGATGCGGGACTCGATCCCAGGACCCTGGGATCATGACCTGAGCTGAAGGCAGACGCTTAACGACTGAGCCACCCAGGCGCCCTTAGTACATCAGTCTTGCTACATCAGAAAATCTTTACTGTAATCACAAATATACCGGAGACCCACAGTTACCCAAATAGCTGCCCCTTTCTGGTACAAAAACATGACACCAGAAATGTTTCCTGGCTTATCCGGGCCTGGAAGGTACATGAACAAAGGGCTCCCGGCCAGTCAATAACCAAGTTAATATGAATGAGGGAGAAAAGAACATTAGTTCTCCCATTTGAGAAAACATGGAGGCTCCATGTAACTGTTTCATTATCTTTGGAATCCTGTTCCTGGGTGTCCCTACTCATCAATGCCCACCTGAGTTAGGTAGATCTCATCCTGACTTCTGCATTACCATACCACCTCCATCTATGATGTATTTGCATTCCACCCTCAAAGTCATATCTCTCCACTCATCCCACACCTACACACTGGAATGCCATTTTCTTCTCCAAAGGAACTATTGAGGTGAATCTTGATGGATGGGAGAATTTGGATTACAGAGGAGTAAGGGAGAAAAACTGACTTGAACCTGGTGTGATGTAATTCCCAAACTCTTTTAGACAAGTTATGATATGATAATATGCTTGGGGACTACTCTGATAGACCTAAATGAAATTTCTTAAACTGGAGATGTTAAATACTAACCTATCCATCTACATATCATGTAGCAGTCTAAATATCTTTAAGCATTCTTTTTCTTCTTGTATCTGGTCTAACAATGATTTCCTAATCAATTTTTTTTTCCTGTGTCTCTACCAAGAGTAAAATCTTTTGCTTGGCAGATTTAGAGGCCTTGTCTCTTGAATGAAACTTAAGTAAAACATTAACATAATGAATTTGTCACATTTGTTTTTCTTAAGAATTTGGAGGTTCTACCAGGATGGTTCAACTCATGAGAACCTACCAGAATGAAGAAAAAACAGCCCTGAATCAAGTAATACCACACTAAGAATGACATTGAAAACATGGAGAGGGAGTTTGGAGCCAGAGTATTGGATGTCCCCATGGTTTGGGGACAGTGAATGTGCCCATCCTCGCTCTTCAAGTTCCTGGAAAAGTCATTTGATGTCAGAAGGATGTCAGAGGACTGGAGGAAAGGTGAGTTGAGTTTGATGTCATAGGCTTTTGGTCAGTGTATTACATTATGCTAATAAGGGATGACCAAAGGCCCTTGCAAAGATAGGGTATGAAAGTACTCATTTATTAAGTTGGTTTTAGGAAGTTATTCTGTGTTTCATTGGCAAGGACTTTGTGTCTTATTTTCATTTTTCTTTTAGCTAAAATTGCATAATTGGCCTGGCAATTTTTTACATGTTGGTATATGTCTCCAAATAGTCATTTCTAATTCTTTGTGTTTGTGACCGGAGAGATTCTAGATATAGAGCTACCTGTTCATTTAAAATACCTTTGACAAATTATAGGTAATTGATTGCAGGAATTGGTCATTTGTATGCACCATGAGAACATCTAGTCCAAGCAGAGATACCTATCTTCAGATGAAGAAGGAACAGAAAATCTTTTCAACTATTATCGTAAAAATATACTATCTTATTCTGTGATGTTAAAGAAAAAGAGTTTCGTGTGTTGGGCAAGTGACTTGAGGGATTGGCTGGAATAGACTAAGAGCTGGAATTATCTCTGTAGCTATAAATAGTAATATCAAATGCAAACTATTTACTTACCTACTTACTTTTGCAAGTTGGGTTCTCCTGGAAGTAGATCCAGGGGTAGGGTTTAGCAGGCAGGTATGAAGAGATCAACACCTGTGAGAGGGAGGGGGATAAAACATGTTTGTGCAGAGGGAGAAGTCCAAACTGTAATGCAGGCCCTACAGATGCCTTAGGCAACCCTATGGGGGCACTCTGGAGTTAAAATAGCCCTTCAGAGTTATTCCCTGTTGGGGCAAGATGGCCACACATTAAATCTCCACATGGATCGGGATAGTGGTAACTTCGTGCCTCCCTGCAGCTGAGAGACCACGGACAGCTGAAGGCTTCCTGTTTACATCACTCCTAGCAGCTGGGGCATGTCTTTCAATGAGAGGGAATCCCGGAGGAGCATAAAGGGGTCCACCTCCTTAGTCATGTAGTTTTGTGAAACTAAATTGCCTAATCTAGAGGGAAATTAACAAGCTTGTTAAATTTACCATATTTAATAGAGCACATGTTTAATTAGTCTAGGGACTTAGCTTATGTATATTTAGAATAAATGGTCTCAAGAATTTATACGCTAAAAGAGAGAAATAAAAAAGAAAAAACTTGCTCAAAAGGGAACAATTAAGTTTTAGGTAATGGCCGACCTTCAGGTCACTAAGATAAGAAACAAAGGAATGAACATTGTAATCAATGCCAATTTTAAGAAAATGTTCTAAATGAGGACTTTTGAGCAAAATTAGAATAGTTTTAGTATTATGTAACAAATAAATATGAGAGAATTATAAATGTTTATTACTCTTGGTTATCATAAATCATACACAAACTATTTTGTTAAATTTGTTTAAAAAATAGTTATAGCATCCTAAACTTTATAGAGAACATCTACAAAAATAACTGCAACTAACATCATACTTAATGGTGAGACACTTAAATTTTTCCCACTAAGATCATGTACAAGGCAAGAATATACCCTTTCACTACTCATTTTCCAAATCATAGTGGAAGTTCTATCTAATGCAATAAGGCAAGAAAGGGAAATAAAAAAGTATACAGATTGGAAGTAAGAAATAAAGCTGTCTTTGTATATGATATTAATGTCTCTGTGGAAAATCCAAAAGAATTCAGAAACAAAACTCCTGGAAGTAATAAACGATTTTAGCAAGATTGCAGGAGACAAAGTCCATATACAAAAGTCAATCACTTCCCTAAATATCAGCAAAAAGCAAGTGGAATTTGAAATTAAAAACACAATACCATTTACAGTGGCACACCCCAAAATGAAATATTTAGGTATAAACCTAACTATATACACACAAGATCTATATGAGGAAGACTACAAAACTTTGGTGAATGAAATCAAAGAACTAAATAAGTGGAGAGACATTCCATGTCCATGGATAGGAAGACTCAATATTTTCAAGATGTTAATTCTTCCCAACTTGATGTATCCATTCAATGTAATCTCAATCAAAATATCAGAAAATTATTTTATGGATATTGACAAACTGATTCTAAAGTTTATATAGAGAGGCAAAAGACCCAAAATAGCCAACATAATATTGAAGAACAGAGTTGGAGAATTGACACTACCTTACTTGAAGGCTTACTATAAGGCTACAGGAATCAAGACATCGTGGTATTGGTAAATGACAAATAGATCAATGGAACAGAACAGAGAGCTCATAAATAGACCCACATAAATACAGTCAACTGAACTTTGACAAAGAAGCAAAGACAATGCAATGGAGTAAAGATAGTTTATATATGGTGGTAGAACAACTAGACATCCACATGCAAAAAAATGAAATTAGACACACACCTTGAACCCTTCACAAAAATTAGCTCAAAATGGATCACAGACCCAAATGTAAAACACAAAACTAGAAAGCTCATAGAAGATAACATAGGAGAAATTCTAGGTGACCTTGGGTATGGCAATGACTTTTTAGATACAACACTGAAGGCACAGTCCATGAGAGAAATAATTGATATGCTCTACTTTGTTAAAATTAAAATCTTCTGCTCTTTTAAAGACAAAATCAAGAGAATGAGAAGAGAAGCCGAGGCTGGAGAAAATATTTGCAAAAGACACATCTGATAAAAGACTGTTAACCAAAACAGCATTATTAATCACTGGGGAAACACGAATCAAAACCACAAAATCACCTTACAACTGTTAGAATAGCTTTACTGAAAAAAAAACAAAACAAGAAATAACAAGTGCTGGCAAGGATGTGGAGAAAAGGAAACCCTTGTGCACTGTTGATGGCAATGTAAATTTGTTCAACCACTATGGAAAACAGTATGGATGTTCTTCAAAAAAATTAAAAATAGAACTACTTGTGATTCAGCAATTCCACTTCTGGGTATTTATCTGAAGGAAATGCAAACGTTAATCTGAAAAGATACATGCACCTCCATGTTCATTGCAACATTATTTCTAATAACCAAAACATGGAAGTAGCCTAAATGTCCATCAATGGATGAATGGAGAAAGAAGATATGGGGCACATACACAGACACACACACACAGACACACACACACACACACACAGGAATACTACTCAGCTATTCAAAAGAATGAGATCTTTCCATTTTCAACAGCATGGATGGACCTTAAGAGCATATGCTAAGTGAAATAAACAGAGAAAGGCAAATACTGTGTGATCTGTTGTATATGTAATCTTAACAACAATGAGAAAAACATGCTCACAGATACAGAGAACAGATTGGTGGTTGCAAGAGGCAGAGGGTGGAGGATAAGAGAAATTAGTAAACTTTAAAAAAATTTTAAATAAACTGAGTAAAATTTTAACTATACATACACACACAGAATTGTTAAAACTCAACAATAAGAAAACAAACAACCTCATTGAAACATGGGCCAAAGATCTTCACATATACCTCATCAAAGATATGTAGATGGCAAATAAGCATATAAAAATATGTTCCACATCATATGCCATCAGGGAAATGCAAATTAAAACAACAATGAGGGCACCTGGGTGGCTCAGTCAGTTAAGCATCTGCCTTTGGCTCATGTTATGATTCAGGGGTCCTGGGATGGAGCCCTGCATCGGGGTCCCTGCTCAGCGTGGAGTCTGTTTGTCCCTCTCCCTCTGCCCCTCCCCCCTGCTCATGCGCACACTTGCTCTCTCTCTCTCTCACATAAATAAATTAAATCTTTAAAAAAATAAAAAAATAAAACAACAGTGAGATACCACTACACACCTATTAGGACAAATCCAGAACACTGAGAACACCAAATGCCAGTGGAGCAGTAGAATTCTCATTTAATGCTGGTAGGAATGCAAAATGATACAGGCACTTTGGAAGACAGCTTGGAGGTTTCTTACAAAACTAAATATACCCTAACCATAGGATCCTGCAATTGTGCTCCTTGCTATTTACCCAAAGGAATCAAAAACTTATGTCCACACAAAACCTGTACATGGATGTTTATAGCAGCTTTATTCATAATTGTCAAAACTTGAAGCAACCAAGATGCCCTTCAGTAGGTGAAGGGATAAACTGTGGTCCATCCAGACAATGGAATCTTATTCAGCACTAGAAAAAATGAGCTATCAAGCCATGAAAAGACACAGAGGTTGCATAAATGTATATTACTAAGTCAAAGAAGATGATCCTAAAAGGCTATATATTGTATGACTCCAACTCTATGACATTCTGGAATAGGCAAAACTATGGACAGAATAAAGGGGTCGGTGGTTGCCAGAGGTTGGGGAGGGGATAAATAGGCAAAACACAAAGGACTTTTAGGTCAGTGAAAATACTCTTTGTGATACCATAATGATGGATACACATCATACGTTTGTCCAAACCCATAGAATGTACAACACCAAGATTGAACTTAATGTAAATTATGGACTTTGTGTGATAATGATGTACTAATTTAGGTTCACCAGTTGTAAGAAATGTGCCACTTTTGGGGTACCTGGGTGGCTCAGTCATTAAGCGTCTGCCTTCGGCTCAGGTCATGGTCTCAGGGTCCTGGGATCGAGCCCTGCATTGGGCTCCCTGCTCCGCGGGAAGCCTGCTTCTCCCTCTCCCACTCCCCCTGCTTGTGTTCCCTCTCTTGCTGTGTCTCTTTCTGTCAAATAAATAAATAAAATCTTAAAAAAGAAAAAGTGCCACTTTGGTGGGGAGTGTTGATGATGGGGAATGCTATACATTTGTGGGGCAGGGAAATCTCACAGTTTTCCTCTCCATTTTGCTGTGAACCTTAAACCACTCTAAAAAAGAATCCTCATTTAAAATAATTAATTAATTAGAAAAAGATAGATGCATTCTTTCTGTATAAAGTATACAGAATACGTGATTTAATTTTCTTACAAAATAATCTAAATAATTGGGACTCTTCTATATCTGTCTTATGGGAAAAGAAAGTGATCATTACTGACACAAAAATTGTAGGAATATGTA